CCTTGGTTCTTTTTGCACAGAATTTGCATGTTCTCCGTGTGCATGTGTGGGTTCTCTCTAACCTCTCCTTGGGTGTGTGTGTGTGTGTGTGTGTGTGTGTGTGTGTGTGTGTGTGTGTGTGTGTGTGTGTGTGTGTGTGTGTGTGTGTGAGCATGAATGTGTGTCTTGTTTGTCTCTGTGTTGCCCTGAAATGGACTGACAACCTGTCCAGGGTGTAACCCTGCCTCTCGCTCATAGGCTGTTGGAGATAAGCACCAAAACCCCTGGCGACCCTACAAGGATAAGCATGTTAGATAATGAATGGATGGATAGATGGATGGATGGATGGATGGATGGATGGATGGATGGATGGATGGATAGATGGATGGAAATGCGATAGTTGGGTACATTTGGTTTATATACATTCTACTCAGCCAAGTGATATTAACTCCTATGAAGTACAAAAGTAGTCACACTTTTTGAAATATTCCACAAGTTGTCCTCTGAAAACTACAGCAGCACAATAGATTGTACTTAGGGATCTTCAAGAAAATGGGGTTGATTACTGATCAATGTTGCGGTTCTTTGAAATAATTTCTCAATTTCATTTTTTCTTCTTCTTGTACTTCACAATTATGGACTGCTTTGTGTTGATTGATCACATAAAATTCCAAGAAAATATATTAAAGTTTGTAGCTGGGCTGTGACAAGCTGTGATAAATTTTAAATTGCATTGATATTTTTGGAAGAAACTGTAGTGAATGTGCTACAAGAAAAGATGTGTGTATTTTAAGATAACTGTCATCTTAAGACTCCTTAAAATGACTTAAAAAAAAAAAAAGAACGGCTAAAATCTTTTTCCAAGTCCTTATGGGTGAAATCATGACACTGGCTTCACAAGCACATTAACATTTTATTAACTCAGACAATTGTAATTTTTTTTTTTCTCTTTTACTTAAGGGCAAAATACAATAAAATTGTACATCTTTGTTGAGAACAACTACACGTTCTTATACTATGTTCTCACTTCATCCTTGTTCTTTTAAAAGCGAAAATGTGTGACTTCAGTCGCTATCTTTCTGTCTTGCTGCTCTGTAATGTTCCCTTCTCAGTATGTCTCTGACTCCCTTAAGGCATGTAAACGCTGTTACTCAGCACACTTCTGACATGTCCCAGAGGAAAGGATGATGCAAGGGCACTCCTCATGCCACTTCAGCATTTCAGTTCCTACAGAGATCTCAGTAACATCCTTCGCTGCTGTTACCCTAACGGTGAAAACCCCTACTGCTATTCAAAGCAATTGCTGGGAGCAGGTGCATTATGATTCCCAGTTTGTTATGTTATTATGGTTGGCGGCACGTTCCGTACTCTGGTTTTTATTTGCTAAATCTCCCTGAGCCATCTGCAAGTCGATCCAAAGTATGAATAAATCCTAAAATGTCTCTTTTAAAGTCAATAAAAATGTCCCACATAAGCACAGAACTAGATATGTTATGCAGGAATGCAAATATGAAAAATACTTTATTTGATCCAGGTTGCAAATAAAGTCTTTTCTTTCTTATTTTTTACCTTAGTAATGCACAAGAAAAAAAAAAAACAAAAAAAAACATTGCACTGTAGAGCAGGAAAGTAAAAGTTCCCAAACTGTAGTAGACAAGTTCTCTGCTGATTCTGATGAACATTTGTTTGTTTGCCAATGTCAACTGGGGTAGATTATGATAATAAATTATGCATATCAGTCCTCTTTAACATTCAAACACTGATCTGCATTAATAAGATGCATTACCTTCTAAATACAGCGCTTTCACAGAAGTGCAGGGGGCGCTCCTGAAGGCCTTCTTTAACTATTGTGCAGTATGTTGGAGCAGCAGCTTATCTACAGCTGAGAGGAAGCAGTTAGATAAGCAACTCAGGAAGTCCAGCTAGGTTGCCCCCTCGACCCAGTGCAGGTGGTGGGAGACAGGAGGACTCTGGGTAAAACAACATCCATGATGAACAATGTCTCCAACTCCACGCATGAAGCCGCTGCTGAACGGGAGAGCTCCTCAGTGGGAGATAAAATCATCCTAAATGCACAAAGGAGAATTACAGGAGATCCTTCCTTCCAGCAGCAGTCAGATTCTACACCCACTACTGGCAGTTGGATAATCATTCAGCCAGTTTCACTCATTTTTAAATAACATTTTTACTGTTATTGCACATCTGCGTCTCTGTACTGCACTCACATACTGTATTGTAAACAGTCTGTCTTTTTAATGTTTTATACACATGCACATTATATACATAACACCCTACTCAGTTTCACATCTCTTGGATCATGAGAAGGATCTTTCTCTTTCTGATAATTATTTCATTTATATACATTTTTTTTTTATTACTACTTTTTGATCTTTTGTGTAAACTGTATGTCTTGGTGCTGATGTTAAACCTGAATTTCTACACTGTGGGACAATAACGGCTATATCTACTCCACAAAATATATTTATATTCCACAAAAAAAAAAAAAAAAAAGTCTTGTCTGTTATCTATCGCCATCTGGTGGTCAAGTTTGGAAAATTAAACAATTGAGCAGTGAACAGTCCAAACACCTTGCAGCAAAAGGTGCAGGGGTAAAAGGTAGATCAATAACCAATTTACTATCCATCCATGAATTTACAGTAAACAGGCCATCTGAGCTTTCCATGGATGCCCTGTTTGTAGGGTTTCAGACTTCATCTTCCATATTTTATGCTATGAGATAAGAAAGCAGTTATTTACACGTTTTAAGTTTTTAAGACTGAAGACTTAATATTAATTTAATAAAACTGCAGTTCAACAATTGTAACATTTTCTGAATATTTTATTCATCATTTGTGAAGACTACTACTTCCTGTTTCTAACCAATTTTCTTTAGGTAAGGAGGCAAGAGGCCAGAATGAAGCATAAAGGACTTTATTCTTGTCAAATAAAGGTGAACACTAAGTAGATACACGTCTTCATTTGGGTTTCTTTGTTAATTCCCTCATCTACTTGGTGGTCCACTTGCTCAGGTCTGATATATATACATAACCATCAACATACGGGTTCTTGAAAAATCATTGCGGTACAGATCTCTGAAGGGAATCCATATCCACATGAAGATGAATGACTGACACCAAAATGCAAATAAAGGTCTTCATCAAAGCAATAAGCTTGTGTTTTTAGAATTTTATTCTTCAAATTATTTTGCAAAATCTCATTTACATTTCTTTTTCCATATATATATGTATATATTTATATATATATATAATATTCACCAATTAACAGTTTTGGCTATTTTCCCTTTCTACCCCATTTATGCCCACACACTGATCCTAAGTTAAATACCCCTTCACATACACATTGTGCGATGATCCTTAGTGCCAAGGTAGGTGGGTGGGTGTTTGGGGATGGATCTGAACAGAGCATGCCAGGAGAAAGGCTACAGAAACAGGGGATGGGAATGAGGCAGCCCAACTACAACACCTGTATGAAAACAAGATAACCACACAAAAGGTAAAGGGAGTATCTTCTTCCACAATGTCTTAAATAATTCTGGTGCAAGTCAGACCAATTATGTTAAAGAGATTGATGTATAACATCATAATTTCTTCCCAGAAATCAGTAATTCATGTTGATAAATGTAAACTCCACAAAGTCCGTTTTGTTTTTTTTTGTTGTTTTTTTTTCAAACTTCTGAAATAGAGCCAACTAATCTAAAGGCAGCCCTCAAGACTGTTTAGCCCTTTGTAGTGACCAACACAAGTCATCAGTCTATTGTTTACAGTCAGAGCCACATCAAATGGAGTGTAAGTGGCCATCTATGTTGATTTTCTTCACACGCTTCTTAAAAAGCCCACAATCTACAGACAAAAACGCAACTTTAGCAAAAAATAAAAAGTAAAAATCACAGATTTATAGGTTACATTAGCTTTACATCCAGACAAGCCATACAATGTATTCGTTTCCACTCCAGCGAGAGTTGTTCTTCATTTGGCAAAACGATCACTCTTGACACATGGCTCAATACTTCTGAAAGTCCTCGGTGATGCTGGTTATGAATTGCAAACAGAGCTACTGATACACAACTATGCTGAAACATTTGAAAAGCCTTGGCTGGATGGAAAAAAAAATTTAAAAAAAATTGCACATCTCCCCAAAGGTCACAAGATTTCTTGATACGCTAGTTTAGATAATGTTGACATCTCTTCCATCTACAACGAACTGATATCAAAACATCCCTTTTGATCCGTTTTAATGTGTTTAAGACAACACCTGACTTTAGCTTTTAAGGAAAGGAACAAAGAGGTTCAAAATTAGACATTGCTTCCTGAATCCAATGTCAGACAAGGTCATTACAACACATTACCCCTTGTACAGGTGTACAATATTCTGCTTTAAAAAAAAAAATTAAGATGCACTTTAAAAAATATCAATAACTTTCTGTACTTTTAATCCATTTGTTCTGAAATCCAGAAATGAATTTTACATTTGGAGCCTGGAGATTAAATAGCAATGCTGAAATAACAGATTGATAAGACATAGTATCTGACATTAAAAAATAAATCAAAATATTCTATGATAAGAGAGCTATACAGTCTTAAGGCATTCAGAGGTTAATCCTGACAGCACATGAAGGCTCGAGCAGCCCAAGCAGTCTGTCAAAAATAAATCAGACTAACTTTTATTTTTTTATGAGAAGTGACTGGAAATTAGCCCTTGGTAACTATAGACGTTTTACATGGAGAACGAGAGTAAACACCACACGGACCCATTCAAGCATGGGCTAATGTTTAAACCGAAGCAGCATATCTCCAACACCCAGCTATGAAACAGATATAGGAGAGGGGCTCCGAGTGTTTTACAGCAAGCTGAAAGACTTCAACTGGTCAAATCAATGTAAACTTGCAACTAATGTGCTCAAACGTTAAATTTCAGTTAGAGATGCACCAAAAAGGCTTTTCCAGGCCAATTCCGTGTTTCCGTCTTTTGACATTTTACCTATAAATTCTGACGGCTTCCAATTTTTATTTTATTTTTTTTCTGCACAGCAACAAAAACAAAATGTGCAATAGCTTCTTTGACAGCAGCTGTAGCTTTGCAAATAATGGAAATAAAACATTAACCCTCGATCTTTAATTTGTATTGAGTGCATCAAGCTACGTGCTGATTGCTGATGCATTTGTACACTGAATTATCCAACCGATCATCCTTCACAGCACATCGAGGGAAACGTATCCAGATCTAAACTCTGACCTCATTGATTGGTGCATCCCCAAAAAGTAGTGTAGCAAATGTCTGCTTTGAAAAGCTATTAACGTTAAATACTTCTATAATAGAAAGCAATAAAGTCTAAATTAATTATGAGACTCTGAGCTGGTTATCAGTGCTGAGCTGAACTGCAACATAAGTGGTTTCTGTCTTTTGCCTATCCAACCAAGAGAGAAAAACATAAATGTAGCCCAGTTAAGTAAGGAAAAGTAGAAATTTCAAATTAAAATTGGTTTTGCTACTTATTAAATGGAGTCAAGTATTTGTAACAAGAATATTCTACACAATTCCCCCTTCACTAAATAAACATCTAAACCTGATTCCATTTTATAATACATTTGGATGGTTTTCTGAGGTTACCGCACCACCTTTTAAACACAGACAACTTGTTAATTAAATGCTTTGTTCCGTTTATTTTTTTTTTTCCTCTGAATATTGAGGCTAGTTTTAATCCACAATGTCAAACTGGGTGTAAGCTGATGTGAATTGAGGTAGACAGAAACCATTGAGGAGCATAAATCTTCATACTGCCAAAAACCAACCAACAGTTTTATGTTTGTTAGTCACCAGACTTGTTTACAAGCATTACAAGGTTTCCTGTGACCCCACTTGAAGCTGAACGAGAATCACTAATTTGTGGAGGAGGCATCATGAATCATGTGGGGTTTGTGGGAAGTAATGAGAGGGACGAGGCCTGGAACTGACACCATCGGTCTGACGGAAATCATCTTTAACATCTCGAGTTCACAGCAGCGTTTAAAACTGAGCCAAAGAAAGAAAATTACAAATATTTCAGGGTAAATTTACAAGGCGTAATATTTTAAATAGAACATATGTCTCTTCAGGATATCTTCTACCCCATATCAACATATGTAAGATGTACATCCAGAAAATGCCAGACCTCATGCCCATTTAACAGTCTCACATAGTCCTAGAGAACAGAGAGTTACTGACTTCCAGTGTGTTTACTTTTTTTTTTTTTTTCCCCCCCCAACATTTTTCAAGTTTTCTAAAACATTACCTTTAAATATTAGGCAAGCTCAGGTCTTTTCTACACATACATACACACACTCATACATACATATATACTGTATCTATTTATGTATATATATTAATATATTAGAATAATTTTTAGCTGAGAAGTTAGGCAAAGTGTATAATGTTCGTCAGGGCAGATTTGATTAAAATGAGATGAAGTTTAACTAATTTGTCCAGTTATCACCATGTGGAGAGTAAAAAAAAACTAAGAACAGTGGGAAGCGCAACGTCAACGCAGGATGTCTGAAAAGCACGTCATCTGGTAAAACCAATAAATAGAGAAAAGGCTTACAGCTTTACAAGGCAGAGTAGGCATGGGCCAGTTATAGGTACTGAGGTATAAGACGGTGTTACAGAATGGACATTTCAAATCTATGAGGAAAAAAAAAAAGATTTCCCTCATTCTGTTCCTTCATATTAAATTCAAATTTCAGTTCAAAATACTTTATTAATCCCAATGGTAAATTCAAAGTTACATTTTATAATAAAGTTCCTATAATGAGATGCCACAGGGCATGGAGTAGTGCAGTGGACCCCTTTCATTTTCACCGTATGCTAGCACCATATTAACTGTGACATTCCCATTAAGGAGCTGGACCCACCTGCCGGTGGCCTGACTAGTTTTGTCACTCTAAAGAGCAGAACTGTAAAAATATTGTATTCTGCACAGTCAACACTTAAAAACTACTCAAAAATTTAACAAGTGTAAAAATAAATGTAAAGATATATCTATAATGATCAATGTCTCATTATTTTTAGCCACATTGGGAAGAACTAATGCTTCAGTTTTAATTTATTTTAATATTTTACTGTTTTCATTTTCTGTGTGCGCTCTATCATGATGCGTGTATACCATGACAGATCATCACAGCATGAGAATCTCACACCGGCCCATGCCTAGCGGAGAGCTGGGTTAATGACATGGCTCTGTGGCATGTGCATTCCATGGGTCTACTGTCAGCGAGTGAGAATGCACAAGTTGGAGAAGAAACCACCAGATAAAAACAGAAACCAGAGAATGAACTATGTAAGCCAAGCTTAAAGCAATAGTGCAAAACGGCATTAAATGTTAAGGGATTGTACTGAAGGGGATTATTCCACCTGCCTGCTTCATCGATACACTAGGTGTGATATGGTGCCAGATTTAAAGTTGAGCTGATGGTTGGGCACAAAGTTGTGCTGAGGATTCTTTCGTGTGCACACATCTTTCGCATACAAGCCCATGCAAGAGTCACACGACACCTTGGAGCAATTTACGCAGGTGTGTGATGCGCCTGGCTTGTTGCAAAACCCACATCGTGACCCCCCAATACTTATGCGCTCCGTGCTCCCTGCCTTTGGTGTTGTCATAGCAACCGACTTGCTTGGAAACAGTTTGGTGGGCATGAGGGGTTTTTCCAACATCTGGGGGTGAGGATGGGGATGAGAATGAGAATGGGTCAGGGTTAGAGGGTGTGGATGGAGATGGGGATGAGACTGGGCGTTAGAGTAGACCGACAGCTTTTCCTTCACGGGAATGTATCCGTCAAGGGGGCGTGGGGATTTCGAGTGGTAGTCCTGGAGGCCACAACAGGGGGACGGATCTATATCGTGGCAGGCGGAGCAAAGAATCATGTCACACCTCTGACAGGATGCCATTGTGGAGCATCCCAGTCCACAACCCTGACACTTCACACTACCATGAGCTTTGAGAAGCCAGCCATCTCTGGCATCACGCGGCTCTCTGGATGGCGGTCGAGACGGAGTTTGCCTTCCTCCCGTCCCGACACCACCTCTCTCTGTGTACAAGTCAATGTCATCTAAGGAGGACATGTGGTAGGACGTGTAGGGGTCAACTGCAGGAGGCGACTGCATGGGGAAAAAGTCTGCAACAGGGCTGTAGGCAGGTGGAGCTGCGATAGAGAAAAAAGATGCAGAGGTGTTGGGCCTGATGATCTCGTCCTTCATGTCTTCCTCTGTGTCCACAAACAGAGGCTCCTTCCTTAGACTCAGAGACGCCTTCAGGATAGGCTTGTTGACTGCTGGGTGCCAATGACCTGCTCCATCTGTAACATCCACAGACTTGGACGGTCGGCTTCCTCGTCTCAGGTGGTGGGCATGAGGCCTTTCTATATCCAATGGTCGAACAGACAACCGAGCGATATCTGCCCCGAGGCTGTCTCGTCTGCGCAGCGCCTCAGCGCAGCCAGCTGCATCATCTCTACAACCCCGGCGGAGCTCCAGAGCTTCCAGCTCCGAGGCGGAACCGCGGGCGAGAGCCACCACCTCCCCTAGAAGACGACACTCTGCCTGGGCCAGGAACAGCTCGAAGGCTAACTGGCGGAGATGACTGCTGTCCCCTGGGTGGTCCAACAAACGGAATTGCGAATCATGGTCACAGGTATATCCAATGGTACGCATTAGCGTTCGGAGTTCAGCATCAGAAATGGCAGACTGCAGGTGGTACACATAAGGGCCTGTGAAGGTCTAAAAGAGAGAGAAATCTGTCAAACACTGGCACAATATAAAATAAAGGTCAGTTCATGGTGTGAATTTTATCCTTAATGCAACTGGTCTAAAAATCAGCATGACCGCAGCTCAATCTAAAGATTCATAAATCAATACCACTCAAGCACATTTTTCGGTAGAATTTGTAATAAGGAAAGTATTTTATTGCAATACGTGAGCTGAATTTGCATGTGTTAGATGTAAACAAACATACAAGGATAGAAAGAACTTCAAACTATTTCCTAATTCCAGGTTCTTACAATTCTCAGGATATTGATTACAACCAGAGTTTGTTCTAAAAACAAATTTAATATTTTATTTATGTCTCTTTTCAACATTTAGAATGCAAAATCATAATCATTTTAATTACTAAAAAGTTACAGATGTATGTAAAACAGTTCTTTGATAAATTTTCTGGAAACTAATGGGTAAAGACAACTACAGTGACCCTTCAAGAAGAAAACACAATCTAAACACAGACAAAACCCACAGTTTACAACAATCAAAATAAAAATAAATGTGTATAGTTCCTTTTCCTCCTTAAATGTTCTGGGAACTTGCGGGAAGTATCCAAAACCTCGCTTAGAGTGAAGCTTCTGGATACGGCCTAGCACTCCTTAAAGACTCAAGTATTCAAGTAAAAAGATAATTATTCTGACTTTATTTTAGATTCCCCATCTCAGCAACATCTAAAATAACAATATGGACTTAAACAAGAAAATATGTTACAATCAGTGCATTTATGTGATGAGAAATCGCCATAAAAATTATATGAGGAAAAAAAAGCTCTGAAACATAAAACCTTTTTGGGCTGAAACTTTGAGGTAAGAATCTACCAAAGGTGTAACCCGGTGACTGTCTGGTATTTATTAATAAGTAGCTCACACAAGTATTATTTCAATGCTAAGTCTTATTATGACACCTGCGATGTATAATAAAACCATGACAATAAATTACACTCACCTTTATACATCGAAACTCTTTCTTCCAAGGAAAGAGCAGGAGGTTGGTGCAGATGGTTTCCAGTGTGTGAAAGGCCCTCTCCAGGCTCTTAAGGTTGCCTCCTCTCTGGCATCGGAGCGAGTTCTCCACCATCTCGTAGAAACGGACCATGCGAAATCGATGTCCAGGGTCTGGCTGATAGGCTCCGAGCAGAGCTGTCGCTGTGGAGAGTAGTGCCTCGCTGTCCTTGTGCCTGCTTTTGTCTCCCTCCAACGTACTTCCAGCTCCCGTATATCCCCCCTCCGGACGCCTTTCCAGTGCAGTCACATACCTCCGGAACAGGTCCTCTCTCAACTTGGCATCCATTATTTGGAACAGACAATCATTCAGATACCAGAGAGACCCTCAGCTCTTCAGGCACGCCTCGATTGGGGATGCCGCATTCAAGCACCATTTTAGGTGAGCATAATTTACCGTGCACATTGGCACACACTAAATTCCAATGTTCTGGAGAGAGAGAGGAGCAGATAGACTCAATAGCCCATCCTCTAACCACAAAAAACCTGTGTTTTTGGTAGCTATCAGTTGGCGGAGCAAGGCAGCAGCCTATATGGTCGTCTTTGTCTGGGCATCTCTTCTTAATCTCAAAGAACAACTTGTTTCAAGACAAATAGGTCTGTGTCACACAGACAGCAAGGAGGAGATTTGCTCTCTGGTAATTCAAAGTTGGATTTATGGAGTCCCTCCTTTGCTTCAGTATTTGTAGAGTTTGAGGTCACTCATTTGGAAAAGTCAATTTTAACCAAATGGTTCTTCTCAGCAATTTCCAAACTGAAAAGAAAAACAAAAAAAAACACAAAGGACGATTACAATAAAAAGTAGTTTTATCACACATATCAAAACAAGAAAAAGACATGCTATTTGAGTCTAAATATAGAGCCAATTAGTACAGTCTTGATCTGATTATTGGTTTCAAGGTACGGTTTAAAATCTTTTCAAGAAGACAAAAAGACCCACAGTATTCTCTTGTATGGAACATAAGTAAGGCAGTACAGATTTATGCCAGTATCAGTGCTTTGAGTGGGATGCTGAGGATGCACTGCGTGGGTTCCTGAATGTTGGTTAAAACACTGATACAGCTAGAATGATTCAATTATCGACATGTTTGTTGCAGCTACACAGATTTGGATAGTTCAAGTATAGATAAGCACATTTAAAGGTAGAGAGTGACACTTTTCTGTTTAAATTTGTGCAAGTGAAAATGTGGGCTATGGCAAAGAGCAGCTACCTTTAAGAAGCTATTCACTTACAAACACCAAAGTTATTAATGGAGGAGTTCCAATGTGTAGTTTATCTCTTTGCGATCGTGCGACTGTTAACTACAAGGAAGAACGTACTTGTCGTTCTTTCGCAAGCTGGCTATTCCAGTTTCATTACAGATACAGTGAGCATCTTGTAGCCAGCTAGCACGCAGTGTTAACACCCCTTTTCACTGCGTATATCAACTGCGACAGCAACGGTAGCCATATACAAAGACCAGGAGAAAACACAGCAACAGCTTTTTCATGGATTATCAATCTCAACCCCTAAAACAACAATCGAGAAAGACCCCAAACTAAACGAAGCAGTGAACGCCCATTTCATCAGAGCTGCCTAGCTAACGTTTGCTCCTAGCTAGCAGGGCGTTCCATCGTAACCAGGATCTCTTTATCGGGTTTAGAGTCATTTATCAACACAAAAAGATCACGAAACAAAAACTACGTGATTTATAGTAAATATGCTTCTCTTAGGGAAACCCGCCGCCTTTTAAACAGAAACCCCGCCACCCGTGTATCTTACCTTAAACAAATGTTAGCCTGGCTAGTTACGCCTCCTCAGCTGTTGAAAATTCCCTTCATCGCAATGCGCATGCGCTCAGAGCGTCAGCATCGTGTCACCCACGTGCTGAGGAATAGAGGGCACTGTGAGACACAAAGATGCTTGTTCAGAGCAAAACAGACATTAGGAGATCAAGAAATGTTGTATTTCGGGTTTCACACTTTTTATTTTCCTTTTTGAATTTGAATGACTATTTGCATAGTTCTGATTTTTTCAACAAAAATAATGAAACAGCTTTAACAAAAAAAATA